GGTATATAAAACTTTCTATTCGAAAATATGTGTATAAGTTAATTTATTAAAAGTCATCTACTTTATATAAATTGTTCTAGTAGTTATACGAGTTTCATTTGATAATACAAAAAAAGTTATAATCCAAATATTATGATTTATTATAAGCTTTGTTTGATACACACATTTTTAATTATTCAAATAACAATAGGAATCATCGTAAAATTCTTGGTATAATTAACGTGGGGAATTTTTACTTTTAAATTTGATTAAATTATTTACTGAACATTTTATTAAGATTTATTAATTAGAATATCTCCTGGATTGATTACTATAGTGAAATTTAATTGTTTTTATAATTTACGTGCCTGAAAAAAAAAATTTATTGATTTTAAAAGTATAAATTAATTATAAGTTTAAAACGAAAAAAAAATATTATTTTAATTTGTTACTTTTGTAAAATTTGGAGATAAAAATTTTATAAGTTTTATTTTTTCTAAAAATATTAATGGCCCAATTGTTTTAGATTATAAGCTTTACAATTTTGAATCATAGTTTTTAATTCACCCAAAAACAGTAGGATTCTATATTATATGTTTTTTTTAAACCGATAAGTGCTTATCACTAAATACATTTCTCGACAAATTCTCATCAGATATATACATTTTTAGGAGGAATCGCTTTTAGTAATCCCTCGTTGGACACTTTGAAGTTAATTAGGTTTACATTTTGGTATGGGTGCTTTCATGTTATTAGTTTTTACGTTTAAATCCCATATTCGTACATATGTTTATATATATAATTTTAGTCGTACTAAAATACGTGTATTGGGTTTTCCATCTTCTTTTTTTATTAACAAAAATAATAAATAAATAAATAAATAAATAAAAGTTACGGGAGCGTAAATGACATCGCGACTATTATTCAATTTGTATAAAGTCGTTGCTCCGCTGCACTCATATTGTATGAATTTACGAACATTGATATTGGTTTTTTATTTCGTTTGTTCGCCGCAATCAAACGGATTCGATTGTTTTGTATACAATTTTAACGGTTATACTGTTTTTTTTTTTTGTCTCTTAAAATATCTTTGTTTCCCTAGTAATTAAATACTAAAGATATTTCGAAACGGATCTAAAAAGCCTACTCACATACGTAATGTGTGTGTAGTAGAATAGCAGAACGAAATTCGTTTTATTTCGCTATTTGCGTTGTTTTACGGTCTTAACTGCCCGGGTGCAGATATCCCGCGCGGGGCCGTTCGGCGGAATTCACTTCTCGTACGTGTTTGATGGTACGTCTGCGGCGGCGTGTCCGCCTCGGGCTCCCAGCGCGTCAGCCAATCCCGGTGCTCGGCGTGCGCAGGACCAGCGACCGCACGGGAAACTCTCGGTCGCGCTAAATCCGCCGAAGAGGAGATGTCCGTTTCGCTCGACGGACGTCTGCGGCGGCGGGGGCGAACGACCTCTGCGGCGCTGTGCAGAGTTTCGGGAGGCCTCGGGGAGCGATGACATTACCGCACCGCTCTGTAATAATAACGATATATAATGTACAGGTGGCGTTGCTGTGGAAGAGAACGTTCATATTTTTCTTCGGATTTTTTTTTTCTCCGTCCGTATTCATTTATTTTCGCCCCGTCTCGCCGTCGTCGCTCACAACTGTGTTAACTAACTGCAACCGCGACACGGTCTTTCGGAGATTCGGAACATCCGCTGTGTCGCCGTTCCGCCTGCCGATTTCTCCGACTCTGTCGCGCGCGTTCGCACACACTCTTACAGCTAAAAGTTTTGCCATCTCCGAGACGTTGGTGGCTTCCGTCCACCGCTGTTCGTTTTTAACGCCGCAGCCCGTCTTCGTTTTCTTTAGATTTGTTTTTTTTTTTTTTTCGTTATTCTTTTCTTTTCGGATTTTTTTTCTCGTGTAGTCATGACTATCACACCATTGTCGTCGTCTCCGTTGTTGTTGTTGTTGTTGTTGTTGTTGTTGTCTAGTGTTTGGTGTTTGTTGCAATGGTTCACGTTCCGTTTCAGAACAGACCTAATGTGGTCGAACGCGTTTAGAAAGGATTAGCACTAAATCACCGCAGCTAAAACGCACCGCCGTCGCTGCAGCAGTTTTTCGGGTGCCCTCCGCGCCAACAGTATAATAATAATATAATGATGACTGGATCGAGCGACGTGTGAGAACGGCTATTAAAACGCAAATAGTCGTCTCCTCCCCCGCCCTCGTTCTGTTCTTCGCGTTTCTTAATATTTTTAACGACCCCACGCGGCCGAACATTGGACGAGACTGTACATGGTCTTTCCCGCGCGTACACGCGGCATATTAAACGTACGTATGAAACGTATGTTTCTACGTGTACGGCGGTGTCGAGGACGTTTGTTTATTTCGCGTCAATTAAACGGCCAACGTTCGTGTCATGCAAACGTGTTGATTGCAAATTACGTTAAAACGTAATACTCGCATCTTAATAACAATACATCGGTGTATCTTTTATACTGCGTTAATTTGCACAAATGTTGTTTATCGAAATGCATTTCGACGTTATTCCGATATGTTTAGTGACGGCAAGATGTGTGTGTGTGTGTGTGTGCGCACGCGTTTTTACATTCTTACATGTTAATCAGTAGTGATCTTTGTGCACGTATAATGTAAAAACATGGTTGCTGTTCGTTATAGACGTATTTGTAATGCATATTCGTCGCTTGTTTCCCGTTGTTCGGTTTATAAATATTATTAAAAATAAAAATGCGGTTACTTTGTTCACTATTTGAATTTTTTATTCAATAACATATTACTATTCATCAGTAAATAATAACGCATTTGCTGGTATTAAATATTAATCATTATAAAACTTATACTTTCATACATTAAGGTATATCAAGAAGTTTCCAGTGTTCGACATTTTTCCACGTTGTTTACCGTGATTTATATGTACACGGTTTATAAATGAAAAGAAGAAAATGATATTTTGTCTAAAGTTTCTTTCTCCAACTTGTACTATGAATGTTGCCGTTGAACATTGCGAACATGTTTAGTCGAATAGATAATTTTCCATTTTTACATACAAACTATGTTTGTCACACGTTTTCTTATCAATAATTAGTAATTATAGTAATTACTAATAACTTCAATTCAATGCTCATTAATGTATACCACTATATGATGGATAGTTATAAAAAAAGCATTTAATATTAATTGAATCGTTTAAATGGAAAAATCCATTACTATTAAATCTGTCATGTATTGTATTAAATAAAGCGCACAGTTGTGCCGATCTATGTAGTTGTTTATTCGGTATTATAAAACCAGTTAATATCTTAACGATTTTCATGCTCTGAGTAATCTAGAGGATAATCTTAGTACTCAGCGATACATTTTCTTTATGCTTTAATCTTAACTGTATTTTATTTAACCGCTTCCTTATAGGTTGAATTTAACGGAACTGATTAAGAAACAAATGGCAAAATCGATAGATTTTTTTCTTTAATGAAATAGTGTAAATGAAAAAATCATATACTATAATATATTATATCATACGATGAATGTGTGTTTTTAAATTTTGAATTTTATTTATTACATAAACTTTAATTTTATAATTAACATAGTACTTTATTTACGTATGAAATATTCATGTAGTATATTATGCATAATTATAAATAAATCAATTAGTTGGAATATGTGACGTAGATTATACAAATCAAATATTTAATGAATAAAAATCATTTTTTACCTTACGATTTATTGCATTTAAAAATGAATTTCAATTTTTTTATTTTATGGTTATATATATATATATATATATATACATATGTAGGTACATTTTAATTATACATGTTGTTCGTGTACTTATTCTTAGCGCACCCTCATAATGATTGTATTAATTTAATGATGATGTATTAGAATTTTATATTTTCCATGTCCTAGATTCTACAAATATGTAACTAGGTTTGCAAAAACGAATTGTGAACTTAAGGCCAATCGATAATTTGTCTGTGATTACTCTTTCGATAATTTATTATTAAGTAGCCTTCACATGACTAACAATAGTTTTATAATTATACATACGTTTTAAAAGTTCTGCCTCATTGTTTGTTACAAAACTAACCTATAAGTGTAAATTATCAAATAGACTTTTTGCTATATCTACTGTACGCAGCTACTGTATTATATTACATGTTGTATAAATGTATTCTAGAAACTTAGATTTTTTTTTTTATTTTATTTTGTAAGTAATGTTAAATGTGAATTATCCATGTCATTACCAAAAAGTATATGTCATGAAAATATCCATGACGTACAAGCCCATTAGTATATACCTGCATACATATGAACATGAAATGATGACGTTTCTCCTAGTTGTTGACAACCGGTTTTGAAAAATAACGACCAGTGGATTGCAATGTTGATTTTAAAGTCATCGCATCAAGTAGTGAATTCAATATTGACGATAGTCGATGGTCATATTCCATGTCTTCCCAAATTGGTCGAATAAATCATATAATATGTGTGAACTTATTATATAAAATTGATTATGAGCCAAATCATTCTTGTTTCTTGAATAGATCAAAACATTTTTATTTCGGTATGAAAACACTCCCCTGAACTGCGTGATGTTCTCTGCATAATATGTGTGCTTTTTGACGATATCTATGTATCACTTTGGATACACGCAGTATATAGTATCTTTGATAATTTGTCTGAAATAATTTGAAATTCTCCATATATTGTATTTTTTTTTTATTTTTTTAATCTTTTTGCCTACACGTAGGGTATGTATCACGAAAGGTTAATGACGTTTACGCATTGGGTATATCTACTTTAGTCTCGTTTTACCGGTGTACTTGTTTTTGTAGTTTTTTTTATATGTGTAGAAACATGCTTTTTATTTGGAAAGTTACCAAATAAACAAGCCCTACGGATTCTCATATATAAATGTCAATTCCATTTTCAAAGTGAACGTGCGAAGTCGATTTGTAATAATTTATTGTAATTCACTTGTGCATTTGTTTCCATTGCAGATCATTGGCATCCAGCAATATTTAGTGAAACCGACCGAAGTCGACCAAAACGAAAACATGCTATCCGACCAAGTCACATCGGACATAGGTATCACCGAGAAAATGGTCAAAGCTTCAGGCATTCCTCTACACGATGCTATCGAAAAAGTGAGTTTGTGATTTTTTTATTTATTTACAATACTTGACGTATAGGTTTTATTATAACTATATCAACATGCGTACGGATCTTGGAAATAAGCACCGATATAATTGTTATAATTGCACCTAATAGTGCACCCGTTCGAGATATTGTCTTTGTACAACGTGGCGTGTACGCAGTCGTTTTATACGCATTTATTTATTATTATTTATTCGTACGTGTTAATAACTTTTTAATACATACTATGAAAACGACATCGATCCGTTGTACGTTACTGCTCATATTGTATTAACGAATATATTGATTTTCGACGCCTCCGCAGCAGTTGTGCGATCATCAAACGGATGGATCGCTTGTCCGCATATTCGTGACGACTATTTTACCATCGTGTATATATGCATTTGGATCAACGGATACAATATGATATTATGAACGTATTACATGTGTCCGCTTTCGATGCGAGTATATATGTTTTCCATAACCCTGCCACGAGGTCGCGGGTATTGTACCGCGGACGCCACCGTCTACGTGTCGACTACAATAGTCTGTTGGCTTCTTTATTATGCGCATGTTAACATAATATATTTATTCAGAGCTCATGTACTGACCGTGTGTATGTAGTGGTCGCTAATTCGTGTACACAGTGTGTGTTCGAAACATGCACGTAGACAGATTTTTTTTTTTAGAAGGTTCAAAAAAAATGTTAATCAATCCACCCAAAAATAGATCTTTTTCCAATAATAAATAATTTTTATTAATGTTTTCATGTATTTAAGTTATAAAAAAAAAAAAAAAACCTTATTATTTTCAATTTCAAATCCAAAGTATTTTAAATTTACTAAATTGTAATATAAATATTATAAATTCATTAATATGAGCAGGTATTAAAACATTTCGGAGTGGGGATGTCTAAGTCCCTCTAAATACTTGCTTGGTCGCAACGCGTTGATTCGACGTTTTACATTGGACGTGATTTCAATTATTTTCTATTATTACGTTTTAGCGCGTGGATATAAGGTTTTGTAGTATATTTTAGTGATACAGTTTACACGCGTCAAATACGGGCCGTATCGGGAATATGGAGCCATTCCTCCCCAATGTTCCCTCCCCTCATCAATGGTGCTACGGACGAATGCTCATGTGTGTGTGTGTGTCACGGCTGACGGGTGTTGTGCAGTTGTTGTTGTAGTGATAGTAATATCATGTGTACAGGGTGATCAACAACCCCGCATGATGTTCCGCAGCAACAGGTATAATCGAGAGAGGAACACGTCGTCGGCACCGCGCTGCCGGTCGGCTGCGTACGCGGTGCATATGTTAATTGCGTTTCCTGTGGGTCGACTACACGGGTCCCACCGTACACCTGCATGCAGGGTCGCGCGCATAGGGCGTGTAAAACGGCCGATAACTGTGTATCCATGGCGGTGGCGTACATGCACTCGTCGTGTCATAGGGGAGGGATGTCAGGGTTTTTACTCACCAAAGTGGAAACTCACGTGCGATCTCAAGACCGGTGCATGCAGACACACGCGTTTTGTTAATCGTTTTATTTTATTTTTTTATTTTTTATATTATCACGCCCGTGCGAGGTGCGTGAAGTTAGCGGAAAAATGCGAGCACTAATTTCCGCTATAACACCATTATTTAGTGTTCAATCAGTGTTATTTAACGGTGTCATTTTTAAAATTAGAGTTGATTTTCCGTGAGATATATTGCATTTTCCAAATGTATATGGAATTATATTTTTAATATATTTATGATACATACAATAAAATACTGTACATTTTGGAAATTTCCAGCAATTTTTTTAGCAATTTTATCAGTGTTATGGGTACAATATATTGTTTTTGCGCTACGTAATACGTGTCCCGATACCTGATTGAAGTTTGGTACTACAGGAATCGATGATACGGATTCACTGGTCAAAGTTGATAAATATCTATTTAGTGTTTGATCCTAAAATGTTTGCTATGCCCCAGGATGTGTACGAATCGTGTTTGTACAAGCCGAATGAATGCATTCATTCGGCTGAAAACTGATTATTGCTTATCTAATGAAGATGAATACATTATAAAAAAGTCGTTGCGTGTTACTTTTAAATTGCATAAAATGGAAATTTAATTATTATTCATCTGTATTGGGAGAAAAAGATCTGCAATAGGTCCACCGTTATTAACTTTCTGTATTCGATTATTAACTTCATTTTTACCAATATGGTTTTTATCTCATAACATGTACTAAAAAAAAAAAATAAATACTTTTTCAGTTTTCAGCAATTAATTACTAAACCCTAAATTAGATGAGCAACTGGGGTTGAATGATAATATTTCATTAATTTTAATATTAATTCCATATTTAAATACATTACAAATTGTAAAGTGTTCCATTTTCATGGTAAGTAATACCTATGATTCTTAATACCACATTATATCGACGATTCAAATTGATTTGCAACACTGCATTAGTGCACTCATTTCGTAGCATTATCTTATGTGGTTTTATATAGTTATATAATTTGGTTAAGAATTTAATAAATGTTATTAAAATAAAATAATTTACAATATAAACGTGTTATAAGAAATAGGACTTATAATTCGTTGAATTACTCGGGAATTAAGTACTTAAAAGACGGTAATAAACTAATAACTTCTAATAGTCAGTTATACTTAAACGATTCTTTCAGGTTTCTTACAATATATCTACTAATAATTACTAATAATTGTATTCTTTGTATTTGAAGTCAAGCATAATTTACGATGCTTAAGATTTTAAAAACGATTCGTTATAATTTGCAATTTGTTATATTTTTACAAATTATATAAAATTATTGCTAAATACGTTTATTTTATAAGTTTTCTATAACTTTTTCGTATGGAAATATAGAATACATTTTATCCACTATTTGTTTTATTTTTGTCGTCTTTATTACTTGTTCCGAATTTATATGTTTTCGATTAAATGATTGTGTTTCATTGATCTCCATTATTTATCATACAATATTTATTGTTCTGGGTGCAATATGTATATAAATTAGCTTGACAGACGAACATTAGCTATTTACATAATCCATAAAATGATATTCTTGATATTTAAACTTGGAATTATCATGTTTAATATAAATTATTTATAAATAACTATTATAGTGCAGTTCATGAAACGCTATCTACATATATCATAAATATGTATATAAATATATATTATTTATTTGTGTAGTTTAACATATTCTAAAGGCATTCTATACAATTTTTTTTCATTTTCATTCAGTATTCTCATAATAAGAAAAATATCGATCTTGATATCTACTTATCATGCTCAATATAAATTACTTATTTATAAATAAATGATAGTTCTATATTGCAGTCCGCACAAAATGCATATAATTGTATGTTTATATAGTTTTACCTACAGTTATTGTATGAGATTTTCCCCCTCTTTTTCATTAGGTTTTCATATAATAGTAATAAGATCATTTGAACATACATGCGTGGTTGCTTTCATTTTCAACCCGTACAATGATGTGATAACGATGTTATTAAATTTATATTTATATTCCTAGAAAAGGACGACTGGCTTCTGTGAGGGATTATATCCATCAACCGGTTTCTCTTATGATCGAAAGTAGTGTTTACGTATACCGGTATTATACATGTACCCGGTAATACTGGTATATACTGCTTACAATCTTGTGTTGTAGCACTTTACTTGCTCAACGTTAAACTGGTTTTATTATTGATCTACTTGTCGGCAAAACAGAATTTCGTACCAATCGAGTGCTCTCTTAGACTCAAGGTTATTCGATAAGGTTCAAAATTGACTTACTGTTGCCGAATTACAAGCCATGGACTTTATTCTAATGTTGTACAGCTTACAGTTTGAAAATAAATTATAATACGATTTATTTTAGTGTATTGCTGCATTATAACTATAAATACTTCGATATTTTAATATTGTTATTGCTACCATCTCATGCACTGTATACTGCAACACATGGATAGTATAAGATAAGCATATTATACCATACGAATTATAATTTCTAAATTATACTAAAAATTCAACACAAACCCGTTATAATATATGTACACCATGTATAATTTTACAACGAAAGATGTCGCAAACTACTAAGAGTAGAAATCAGTTACCTGACGGACAAACTAGGACATATCGCCCTTGGGTACACAATGTGTTTTAAATGAAAGAAGCGAGTCCTTAGATTTAATCTCGGTGATTTTCGTTTTTGACAGCTCACAGTTCATTGCAGTATACAGTCAACTAATTTATGACATAGATAAATGTATTTACTAATCTATCTGTTAATGTTTTACGCGCAATCAAGCCCTTTTAATTTAGTATCTCAAGCTAAACTTTGACTGTTTATTTACCTTATACTTTTCGATGGATACAATTATTCGGACGATAGACACGTCTTTAGTAGGTCTTCAATTCATTAGTCGCTAATGATCAACTCTTAAGTAGTGCTCTTACGAGTAGTTCTACGGTGGTCTGAATCGGTATAAAGTATTTTCTATGTATGTATATTTTCATTAAGGAGGCTACTGATAATTTTATTTTCCTTTGTAAATTATGCAGTAATAGCATTCACCTCAATTCTTTGTGCTCTATATTTATATTGATACCTATAGATACAGTGTATGTACTTTTATCATCATCATCATCATTGTTATTTTCATTCGCCACGACGGTTCCGGTAAATTTTCCCCGGCTAAGGTGTTAAGGTTTTCGAGTAAAATTATCGATTTTATTAAATTTTCTCCTCCGTTTATTCCGTATTGGCGGTTTAATGACGTGCAGATTGCACGAGACCGATGCACAAAGTGCCCCAATAAAAGCGGCAAGTACCTTTACTGATGTTTAACGATTTTGTTCCAGTTGTCGGCAGAGAACTCCAATTTGAAACGTTTTATATTATATTTTATTAACACTGTTTACGGTCCAAGTTCCGTTATGACGGTACACGTAAATAATAATAATAAAAAAATCGCTATAGTAC